TTTTTTTTCATGTGTGGGTATTTTGCATGTATATCTTTGACTATGTGATGCCTAGAACTGGAGTTACAGACAATTGTGAGGCACAACGTGGATGCTGGGAACTGAACCAGGGTCCTCTGGAAGAGCAGCCAGTACTCTTACATCTCTCTAGTCCCACATTTTAAAAATTAAGAGTACAGTAGCACCCTGCATTAGGCTGCAGTAAGGATTGATCATAATACTCTACATAAAAGCTCTCAGTAGAGTTGGGTATACACAAACATATTTAATGTTAAATTTTAAAACAAATTTGAATATTCTGAAATAACATTAGGTATACACATTGAATATTAACATTTTTAGGCATAGCACAAAAACATGGTTATGCATACTCCAGTGGATAGCCTCAGTGGGCAGCAGAAACTGGACTTGATGGGGAATAAAAAGAAGAAAAAGGGGGCTGGAGGGATGTCTCAGTGATTAAGAGTGCACTAGCTGCTCTTCCAGAGGACCCGGGGTTTAATTCCCAGTACCCACCTGGCAGCTCACAACTGTCTGTAAATCTTGTTCCAGAGGATCCCACACCCTCACATTGACATGCATGTGGACAAAACACCATTGTACATAAAATACAAATAAATAAATTTTTTAAAAAAAGAAGAAGAAAGGACAGGAGGTTGAGAAAGGGTGAGGATGGAGAATGGATCTAGAAGAAGGTGGGGAAGGAGTAGTAGGGTAAATATGATCAAAATCCATGTATGAAATTCTCAAAGAATTCACAAAATCCTGTATTTAATGTGGTTATAAAAACTATTAATGCTCATGTCAATATAAAAATGTTCTCCTTAAAACCTTATATATAACATTTATTCCCAGTAATGTTCTTTAGGCATTATCAAGCCTATAAGATTCTAATTATCTTGCTGAAATTGATTAAATGTATTTCTGCCAAGAATCAGGACAGAAGGAAATAATCAATATCCTCTGCATATTTACAACACTCCAAGTATCTTTCTAAATGTTTTAAATATGTTAAGACATTCAATTCCCATTAGCCAATGGGCAGCATCTACTTTATGTCTATTTTATAGAGGAAGAAACTTGAAACAGAGTTCTTAAGGTATTCTCTCCTTAGAACAGAGATAAGCAGCCCATTTCTCTTGTGGAATTTGCTATAAAATAAAACATATTCTGACTGAAACAGTCTAGACATAACTTCTTTTGTGCTGTTGTTGCATGATATTTTGTTTGTATTCTGACAAGTAAAGCTTGCCTGAAAGATCCGAGAAGCAGAGCGGCCAGCCACCAGAAACTTATCTCTAAAAAATCCCACTAAATAGGAGCAACCTGTCTGTATGAATCCTCAGTCTGAATGGGCTGAGATCCTGTCTCTACCTGCCTTATATTCCTGTCTCCACCTCCCTAGTGCTGAGATTAAAGACATGAGCTTCCCAAGTACTTGAGCTTCCCAAGTACTTGGATCAAAGGCGTGAGCCTGCCACTGCCTGGCCTCTATGGTTAACTAGTGGCTAGCTCTATCCTCTCTGATCTCCAAGCAAGCTTTATTTGCCAGAACACAAACAAAATATCATACATATCATAGTGCTGTTGTTGTTGAGACCCTGGCAGTCTTGGAACTCACTATGTAGACCAGACTAGACTCAACCAAGATATGCCTGCCTCTGCTTCCTGAGTGCTGGGATTAAAGGAATAAAGCACATACCCAGAACCTAAGTTTTTTAAAAGTTTTTTTTTTTTTGTAAAAAACTTAAGAATTCATATGTATTTGTTCATGCTGTGTTTCTAAACTAGCACTGTCCAATATAAGGGCCAACAGTTACATATGGCTATTGAGCATATGAAATATGGCTAGCACAAAGAGATGTATTCTAAATGTACACATCAGACTTTGAATTCAATTTGAAAAAAGTAAAATAAATTTTGTATTGATTATATGATATTTTTATATACTGAGCTAAGTAAAACATTACTAAAATTAATTTTTTTATGAAGGTACTAGAAATTTTGTATTACTTAGTAGCTAGCACTATATTATCTACTGGATAGTTGGTCTAAGTTTGGAGTGTAAGAGACAATAGTAACAGAATTATCAAGTTTGTTTTACTAAACAATATAAGCTTAAGTCCCTCAAAGTAGCACTTTAAAATGAGAAATGTCTCTATGCATGCATGTGTACACAATGTTACATAAACACTGAGCTCATGAAAATATATCAGACTAACTTTTCACTATAGTCAGGAATCAAGATCACATTAGGACCAAACAGCACTCAGGTGAGTCTATATTTGTAGATAGAAGATACAAAGAAAGCACATCACCGGGAAATGATCACCGGGAAGAAAATGATTTTCTTTTAAACTGAAGTCATAAAGGTGCCTTTCATTACAAATAGCCAAGCACTTAGCTTCTAGAATATAATAAACACCTGCCTTAGTGATAAGTAAGATTTGAATTTCCTGATGGCATAATTGGCGGACTATTAAAATGTCCAATGTTTTATATCTGGTATCTTCTAGAAGATATACAGTTTATAGATACTTGTCACGTTGTTTTGATCAATTTTATACATCAAACATAAAGCCCTTAGCTGGTTCTTCTAAACAGATGCTTTTGCTTTATATACAAGAAAATTACTCCATAAAGTTTATATCAGATATGTGGGAAAGTCACATTTATAGTCATGGCTACTATCAGCTGTCAAGTCAAAGAATATTGAAGAAAACCAAGGATTTTTAATATATGCTAGTTAATTTATCATCTAAGTGACATATGTAGGATAAAAAATTGAGATGGTTAAGCAAAATTCAATTATTTTAAAAGGTCTTTTGGTGTTATTTTCAGTTGCAGCTGTGATTTGAGAAACTAGGGTAAGAAAAGGAATTAATAGGTACCATAACAAAAATAATATATACCAAGTTGGGTCTTTTTATCTTCCCTTCCAAGAAAAACTTAAATATCAATTTTTAAAATAGTAATATTCTGATAATTTGCTTTGTACAGAAACTGATTAAACCATCTAGCCTTTGGCTGTTCAAACCTGACACCATTTTATTTGAACTCGAGAGCTCACTGCAGAGCGCTGACCTCCACACGTGGACTAGTGAGTGAGCAGCCTCCCTGTCTACCCAACAGGGATGTCCAATGGTACTCCTCCCATAGTTCTGACAGCCCACAGGCTTAACCACCATCACAGCTTCAAGGAGCCAAACTCTCCCTGGTTGAGAATCCTTAGTCTATTCCTACCCAAAATTCTTTCCTATTTGTTCAAAATTAATTACAGCAGTACTCCCTACAATAATGCTATTTCATCTTAAGGGCTTTTCATAAGTGATCCTTACATGACTTTAGTAAGGAGTAAACCTGCTGAAATCACATATAAAATAGCCTGGGTACATTTTTCTTTTACTGCATGCACTAGAAGATTTTTCTGGGGAAAAGGATGTTAATTAGCTTGGTAAAATCCTTAAAGAGCTACCCCCAAATGGCAATTAAAGGGGTCAAGAAACAGTGCTTCAACTAAAATATTCACTATGCCCTGAAGCTATCACTTCAAAGATACAAAAACTAAAAATATTATTTTATACACAGCAAATAATTTATTTGCACTGTCATTTATCAGGCAAGACTGCTTCATCATACTAACAAACCATTTACACAATGTACATCTACCGAGTGCATTCTTTATTCCAGGCAACTATGTTTTGTGTGTGTGTGTGTGTGTGTGTGTGTGTGTGTGTGTGTGTGTGTGCGCGCAAAATGTTAAATTCCATTTCTCTCACTAAAGAGATTGACAAAACCTGTATAAAGGCTATATTTATTGCACATAACTAAAAATTTGTTTATCAAAAGTTAAGATAAAAAGAAAATAAAAATTAAATAGAATTTAAATAAAAAATAAAGGCAAAACTGTAATTTATACTCTTGGTAAAAGATATAAAGCTAATGTAAAAGGAACATACTAGATCCACCAACTAATAAATTCTTGCCCAAGCACATTTCTTCCCATCTTTCTTTCCTTCTCCACCTTAAAACAAAGACAAACTGAATACCATGCTATCTACTGACGTACTGAATGACAGTACTAGACACTGGCATTGAAACCAAAGGTTATCAAACTAAACAAGAAATCTAAATGGGATGACCTAAAATTAAATGCTTAGCATTATGCCTCCAACATGACAAAAGCTTGATAACTACTTTCTCCTCCCTCTTTGTCCTCCAGCAGCCCAGTCTCACCTCCAATAAATATCACTAATCTTCAAATTCCTTTTACATGCTGCACAGCCAATCTTCTGTGATTCCAACTACATGAACTAAGTACCTTAGCAGCTAAATATATAAAATGTTCATATGATTTTACAGTATGCAGAAACATTGACTTTTTTCAAATAAACAATTCTCCACATATTCCATAGTGCAATTTTAAGTTTACCCTGCCAAACATCTTTTTTGGATTACACAACTATAATATAAAATTTAAAAAGCAACTGCACGTAATAAGTGGGCTGGGAATAATAAATACACATATAATCAATAAATATATGAAGAGTAGCTAGAAAGAATCTATCTGCTTCAAGATTAACAAACAGAATTAAGGTTAGCATGTGTATAATAAGCAGAATGATGATTAAAAAGATGTAGTGAATAACTCTTTAAAATAAGTTAGAAAAGAATTTTGAGTATATAAGTGAAATTATTGTCTCCAAATAAAATACTATATCTAACCAAAACCAAAACAACTGATAAGACAGAATGTGTCCTCCATTTAAAAGTACTTTTGCTTAAAGGAATGGATAATGAAGTTTATTTTACATACTGACAACTGAAAATACTGTATAAAATTAGACTTCACAGAAGAGTAAGATTATACTGATAATGGTGAAGTCACACAGAAAAACTCTAAACATACAGTATCAGACTTCAGTAGGGGGTGGACGGCAACTCAAAATGATATACATCCTCTAGCACAAAGAACAAAATTACATTATTTACATATTTACCTGCACAGCAAGAGATGCTGCATTGTCAGAAAGCAAAATTTGCTCCCCTGTGGAAACATAAAGAAAGGTCTAAGTCCAAAGTTTAACTGCTAAATAAGCAAAATGTATTAAAATATTTTTAAAAGCTATTTCTATTTTAAAGAGATATCCTACATAAAGCTATGAAGCTTTTATTCAATGCTGTTGTGCAATAGTTTCAATTAAATTACCATGTGTAAGTGATAAAATAGGATTGTTCTAAAATTATTTGATCATTTATCTCATTTTATCAACAATTAAAACTGCTTATTTAAAAACACATTCATTTTTATATTTTTTAAAAATATTTTTTCTTTTCATTAAAATGAAGTAGTTTAAAGTAAAAGTATTCACAACCACATAAAGCAGCTTATAGTTACTATTGCACAGTGTGTCTAGGTCTGTCACACAAAAGAAAGATGACAAGTTCGCTGCAATAAAAATTCCATGCTTAGAGGACGGGGCTGCTGCCTATTAGTCTTCATTACTTTGCAGTCTTCTGACAACTGTAGCAGGCTGCTGAGCCCCAAATGGGGTCCATAATGTGATCTGATGATATATGAAGAGCTGCTAACGGGAGCCTGAACCATCCCAGCCTATACATTTTCACAGTTCCTTTTTACTGAGAGTCCACTTTACCACGGGACTTCAAAAATCTGCTGTCTCAGCTATTGGTGCAGTAAATCTGCCAAGTGCTCCTGCAACCACATCATTTTACACTGCCTACAGCAGCCAATATAATGAGTCAATAATAAACTAAGGACCTTATAGGTTATGAATAGTTGGTTTACCTGGCAGGATACAAGTTTAGGCAAAACCTTGTAGACAAATTATACGAGGGAATCCCTTCTTTGTGTTTTACATTCCCATTGCAGGAAATTATATTAGTGCATTTGGTGGTTGCAGAGTTTTGTTTGTTTATTTGGTTGGTCAGCTGGTTCGGTTTAACTTGGGGTTTACTGTTAGTTATAAGTGTATTTTAACATAAAGCCATTTTTAATTGTGAATAAGAACTTACCTCTCAGTTGTTGATATAAGGTCGCATTTTCAGGCCAAGGTTCCGTAGCTGCAGAAACAAGGCAATGATAATCAGGCACATGAGGCAAAAGTATATTAATACTCAGCCAAATCCATCAGTATGTACATTGGCAAGCATTTAAAATCTACTGTTAAGGTGACATTTAACCAGCAATGAATCATACTACCTTAGATTGTATGAGATAACCTGCATAAGAAGGCTAGCCTATTTAAATGTTTACTGTGTGGTAATAAGGATTTTCATAGAAAAAAGGGAGATAACTTGCCCAATTAAAAAGACAATTAAAAAATAAAGTTAGCTTCCTTAAAATTAGTTATATGCAAAATATTGTTCATACATAAAAAAATACTGGTATTTTATTCAGTACAAAAAAGATAGTAAAATAATGTTCAGAACGTTTTACTGTAAGCTTTTCAAAAAGTAAACTCTTTCGCACCAGATGAAAGAACCAAACACATCTGTTACAACCTGACCACCTTTCCTTTTTTAAAAGTAGTATTTTAAAAACACAGGCATCCCAACGAACACAAAGGCTTTGCTGCCTTGACTGCAGGACTGCCACCCTATAAAATGATAAGCATTAATGCATAATAAGCATTGAGTACAATGAGAAACAAAGTCAGTAAAACTAATTAATTCTGCTATGAAGCTTGACCTTGACCCCACTTTCCCATCTACACCAAATTCCAACTACAAGAAGAATATAACAACCTATCAGTGCTAAGGAAAAGCCCTCAGTTCTAAATGCTGTCTCCTAACAGTGCTTAAAGCAAAACAACTTTTGCTCATGTGGGGATGTGGGTGTGTGTGGGGGGGGGGGGGATAATGGAGAGGTTGTTTGATGGCTTTTAATCCCAGCACTTGGGAGGCAGAGGCAGGAGAATCTCTGTGAATTTGAAGTTAGCCTGGTCTACAGAGCTAGGGCTCCCAAAACTACATAGAGAAGCCCTGTCTCGGAAAAAAACAAAAAACAGAAGCAGCAGCAAAAAGAGAGGAGTGGATCTGGGGGAGAAATGGAGGAGTAGAGGGAGGGGAAGCTGCACACCAGATGTACTGAAAACAAAAACTAAACAAACCATAAAACAAAAAAAGAAGCAATAGGGGCTGGAGAGATGGCTCAGCGGTTAAGAGCACCGACTGCTCTTCCAGAGGTCCTGAGTTCAATTCCCAGCACCCACATGGTGGCTCACAACCATCTGTAATGAGATCTGGTGCCCTCTTCTGTATACATAATAAATAAATAAAAATTAAAAAAAAAAAGCAATAGTTGCATTAACAGAACATACAGGATTATGAGGATCTCATTTACCAAATTCTTCTCTGTAAAGGACATAAAACATCAAAATAACTAATCCTAATACAGTAACTATGGCTGTTCTTAGCAAGAAAGTGGGCTGTGGTAGTTAATAATTGATAGTTTTCTGTGTTTATACTAATCCAGTCTTTGATACAGCAACAAATCATTTTAATATATAATTATAGTTGATTTTTAAAAGAAATTTACATATGTAATGCATTTTTAAGATGAATAATATAAGAGACAATAAGTAAAAGAAACCACTTGAATGTGTTCTTATACTTTAGAATCAAAATGAAAAACATATCAAAAGTTGCAAATGTTACACTTGACCTAATTAATATACATAAAATTAAGTAGACACTTAGTGATAATACTAGGAAATCATTAAGCAAATAATGGACCAGGAATAGTTTTCTACACTGTTAGCTGCAATATTGTGCATACATGCAAAGGCCACTGGACTTCAACACACAGCCAGGTTAAATATCTTTTACTGCAAACATTTTAACAAAGTAAAATTTCAATGAGAACCCAATTAAAATACATAATACAATTCTTAAAAGCCAAGGCAACAAAAGTAAGTTGTCATTAGCAAATTACTCAAAAGTAACTTTTTAGGATACATTATATGGCCAACACACCTGTACCATTTACTTCTCTAAACAAAACAATGAGACTTGTTTATTATAAGATCCATAATCACCAAATATTTAATATGTACCACATAAAGCACCAAAATAACATTTATAAAATTTCCAAAAGATAAATATTAAAACTCAGTTCCTGAGAGAATAGATGTGTCCTATACCTCTCTGTGAGCCATAATATACATGCCTTGCATATAGTTGTTACCCACTGTAAGTAAAAAAAGAAAATAAGCATTTAATTAAAACCTATCATACTTTCATTCTTTAAACATGGATAAGCAACTTAATATTATTGTAATGGGGTGTTCTAAAATATTTTGGTAATTTTAATTTTTGTTTAGCTATTTTGTCTCTAGACTAGACACAGACTGCAAATTTTCAAAACAATTTATCATTAAAAATATGGTATTTGCAGTGTTTATTGATAAATGAGAAGCTACTCTATTGGTTTATAATATGAGCTATAATGTAAACATTAATTCAAGCTTCAATAATTCCAGTAGTTTAGGGACAGAGTGCTCACTCACATACATAAAGCACTGGATGCAAATTCAACCAACACACACACACACACACACACACACACACACACACACACACACACAGTTAATTCATCACCTCCACTATGATG